TTGATGAAATTTTATAAGGCGATATGAGGATTAAAAAAAGGAATCATTAAATAAATAATGAATCACCATGCACGCATCTTAATATTCAGTAAAACCTGCGTCGAGAAGTGGCAGGCGCCGCAACAAGTGCCAACTATTAGACGTTTCATACCTTGCTTTTATCCCATCCTATATATACCGTTCCTTCCACCATGAAAGTAAGCAGTAGATATGTAAAAACCGGTTGGGCGGTATCTTACACATGTTTAGTGGTGGGGAGATCATTAACATTTGTTTTACAATCGAAGATAAGGTTGGTTCAAGCGGCGCCGGCTAGGATATTCTAGTTTCGACTTTCTTCGTAACGAGACGAATTTCCTTGATCGTATTTCACGGGGTCGCCATTCCTACATATTGGCGTGGATTGAATGCCAAGGATTAGATCGTATCAGGAAGTGCAGACAGACGTTTGAATCATTCGTAATCGCTGCAATATCAGAATCGCGCAAAACGTTCCGCTGATTCACGCAACGCTGTGTTTATATGTTATCCCATACAGCGCAGAAGCTTGGAATTACGTTGCAGGAACGTGCATTATTTCAAATTTCAACGTAACATTGCAGAAACATAACATAGATGTTGAATTATAATATTCCATCGGAAATGTTAAAACAATATTGCGGAAACATTATAAATAATTAAAAACTATAATGCTATAATTTATGCATAATACACGTCTGATATATGCGTTTTGTATCTTAATCACAGAAATTTAAGTATTCACTTATATCTATATTTTCTTATATCTTTATTATGTCTTCATAGTGTCCCCAGGTCTTTAGACGTCACCTTGCTATCTTGGCAAAAAAAGTTTGTAAAGAATGATACAATAAAATTCTATCGTTCTATCGTTTTCTATCGTTTTGAATATGGATTTTGGTTCGTAAATACACAAATCCCTTATAGAAATATCATACCAAGAATCATTGATAATTACTTATTATCCAGTATTTTTAATACTGGAAATAAGTAATTATCAATGATTCTTAGTATAATATTTCTATAAGGGATGTGAATAGTATTCTATACAATAGAATACAATACAATAGAATACAATAGATAGTGGTAGAATTTCTATCGTCAGTTTCTTATATAATACAAATAGAACCAGATAAAATATGATAGAATTTATATTTGATGCTTGCGAATGCTGACGCTTGCAAATGATAGAGTTTATAGAAAACAATATAAATTGATAGAAATTCTATCGTTCTCAATCATCTCTATCAACTTTTTTACCAGCGTACCTGAGTCTGCGTGCTGCGTTATTTATTGGTCTGTACTTTTTAGCTGAAGTGGTTGCGCTAATTAAAAAATATATATACACATTAAAATGTATAAAACATATGTACGAAATTCTCATGTTTTAGTCTGTGTACATTTCCTAAACTAGAGCAGTCAAATCAACTAAAAATAACAAACTATATAACGTGCCACCTATACTCTTGTACATTTAACAAAAAAACGCATTTAACCTTATTATACGCTGCCAGCAGCTTTGCAAAATTTTCTACTGAACAACATCGGTGGTTTACGCCAATATTTACATGTTTACTAAGCAGTCGCTATTTTTTTAACATATCTTAAAAGAATATACTTTTAACACGCCGGACCACTTAATAAACATGATGGAAAAGCATTAACCGCTAAGTATTTCTCAACAGAAATCCTTACAACAGCTGCAAAACTGCTAACAGTGCAGTGGAAAGCTGCTTCTTCTGGTCAATGCAACCATTAGATTACATTTCATTGTAACGTTGCTACAATATTTTATTGCAACGTTTTTAAGGGCCGACACTTCAACATTGCTGCAACCTTGAGGTAATGTTGCATTAATGTTTCGCAACATGTATAGAATGTTACAATGTTTTCGTGTAATATCTATGCAATGTTCCTTTAATCTTTCTGTGCTGTATGGGACGCAATGGGACTCTCTGGGACCGGTATTCCATTTTTAATTAAAATCGGAGATGGGAGTGGGTGCTGGGAAGAGCCAAATATCGGTCGAGACAATATGAAAGGCCAGAATGTGCGGTAAACAGTTCTTTTATTATTTCGGAACGTGCTCGTCCCGATAATTACGATAGTACGATGAAAAGTATACGCAAAAATTTCAAGAATAGAGGTTGCTTGCTGGATGGAAATACTTTGTTTTGATTGGTGCATTTCCATCTATCTTCAGAAATGCACCAATCAGAACAGAGTATTTCTATCCAGTAAGCAACCAGCACGAAACAAGCATCAGAATAATACTTCATTATACTTTTCTCAACCTATTTTAACTAATAATGATTTTCACTGAATTTTTCTACATTTTTAATGAAAGATTATCGAAATATTAATGAAATTATAATGAAATTTTAATGAAATTAGATCAAAATTGTGAATGCTTTTCAAAAGCATTTCAACAAAAGTTAATTATATTATCAATAAATTATTTTCATCAGATACAAATATCTCAATTGAGATCTTACATGCGAAATTTTGCGGAAACCGCATTTGAGAATTCAATTGAGAATTCAACTGAGAATTCAACTGAGAATTGAATTGGGAATTCTATTGTTATCTCAATAGAAATTTTTCAGTAGGGTAGGCTTTATTACTTTAAGCTCAGAATATCAATTTACTTCTATTCTATCTAACGTCGCTGATCACAGATGGAATGTTTACGACATTTGACAATGAAAATAACATTAAAAATAATCCAACAGTTGTACAACTGTTGAATAATTCGTCAACATAATTTTCCTAAAATTAGAGATCTAATGGTAAAGACCAATAATCACTATGATCTGAATGCAATGTAATTGAGTTTTGTACTAGAATATTTTCTTATTGCACTGCTTCATATTCAAAGGGTTAAAAGTTTAGAAATGAAGAGGAAGAAAGGAAAATATTTGATCAAATTATAGATTATACACAGAAAAAGTATTTGCACTATTTACATCAGAGAAAATTAATTAGAAGTTTTATATTTTTTTTCAGTTGAGGGACATTTGTGAAAATGTCTACTCCACCACATTTACTGAATCTAAAGTGGGCCACAGTAATGGACCAGCATGCCCAACTAGCTGCCCAAGTCACAGGCCGCTGTACAAGTCGCTCATACTCCAGTAGAAATTATAGTTGAGTCATCGATGTCTGAGATGTCTGAACAACCAGAGCTTTTATCAGAATACGAACTTCTTGAAAAAGGTAAGGTATCTATAGAAAGCAATTATTTCAATATATAGTCTTTTTGCAAAACTTTATTTCAACACAAAAGTGGCAAGTGCTGCAGTTAAAGCGGTTTGCGAATTTAAAAAGGAAGCTCGAATTACTGGATATCGATTGCCCTTGCGGATATAATCTCATGTTCTGCCCTATTTGTCAGGAATACTAAATTCACACTGAACATATAATACACATACTAAATAATTATTTTATTAAATGGTAATTAGCACGCGTATCAAACTATTTATTTTAAATTACTGAGATTCCCCGTGTAGTGAAAACATTTCTATCGTGCCAGCGTTTGGCGACGGCAAATGCCGCGCGCGTTAAACCTTTGAGAAATTTCTCAGTTGAAGTATCTCCTTCCATTTAATCTACGTTAAAACAATATGCAAACGGCAAACTTAAATTTATATGCGACTCCGCCGCGACTAAACTCGTCGCTTCGATATAACTTTATGTTAAATAATTTTAATATTGACAATGCATGTCAACGACTATATAATTAATATGTCTTCTTGATGAATATTATACTATAATATATATATATATATATATATATATATATATATATATATATATATATATATCTTTGATATATATACCTCAGTATAATATACCTCAGTAATCTATATATGTATATATAATAAATTTATTAAAAAATTTTTTTTAATTTAAAATTTATTAATAATTAATTTATTAAAATAAATTTATATGTTAAAAATTATATGTTAACAATTTGTATATTAAAAATTAGTGTAACATGCAACTTGCGTTTTTAACCCATCTGATTTTCCCTGATTTCTATTGCGTTAATTTTATTGCTCCTTATTAATTGTTCAGGTTAAAGGAAAGTGTCCGAATATTTTTATAAGCGCGCTGAATCGATCATAACTGTCATTTAGTGTATATATTCTTTGATTTCTATATGTACTGTAATATAAATTGGCAAGCAATTTCTCGTTTCTGATGTCATCAAATAAGGACAGCCATAGCGAGAATCCAGGAGCCTTAAGATTATTTAACAGAAAGTTACTATTTAGTACACGTATCAAATGTTTAGTTTAAAATTGATTGTTTCAATCTCATAGTAACCTACCTGACAGTTCAAATGTGCAGGCGGCCTAACTCTCGTCTTGAAACGAAGAGAGACGATTTTCACCGCCTCTATCATGGGTCTCACCAATCGAACTAAAGAGATCACGTGACGTGGAATGAGGATATTTAAATACATTTGGACGCGCACGAGAGAATTGATATATTTGGAGAATAAATCTTTGATTTATTCTTTTAGCTGCACTGCTAAATTAGTGCAATAAGTTAGAGTGAGAACAACATATTTGTCTCATTTTAACTTATTACACTAGTTCAGCAATGTAGCTGAAAAGAACAGACCAAAGGTCATATCTTACAATCAAGTAACGGTAATATTATATCAATATTATAATTTTCTACTTTTTTCCCGGCTTTATAGCTAAAGACAGTGTAGCTTTGCTTTTCTTTATTTTAAATAAAACTAAAAGTTTTATGTCAGCAATAGTTTCTATATTTACTAGTGTAGCAGGCATTCATTGTTGTTAAGTTATTTTTTACATATGTATATAAATAAAATATTTTATATATATGTATATATACTTTCAATAATCTTTCCTTTCCTTCACTCCATACATTTAGGAAGTGTTCTGGACTTGGGACTGGGAAATCTGGTAATCTTAAATAAAACTGTTATAAAGTATTGTAGGTTTAAGTTGTGTGATTATATGGTAAGTTATATTAAAGTAAAATTTGTACAAAATTATGGCATACATTTGATATATATAACTTACACACAACATATTTTTATTAATTTACCAGAGGTAAATATAAATCCACGGTAACATATAGTGATATTAAAATCTTTCAGGAATGAACATAAAAATAGAAATTAAAATCAAGCAATGATTATGTAATAGTATATGATAATCTTCTATAGGTGATCATATTCACATTATAAGACAGGTATACGAGTTTAAAGTACGAGAGTACTCTTCCGTCAATATCTCTAATACAACAATAATATATGTATATTTATATGGTTCACGTTTATCTAATATAAAGTAATTTATATGACAATTTCATACAAATTTAAGGGAACTTTTACAAGAACCCTATAAATACTAAAAAATTATAACATCAGCCATATTGCTAATAATGTTACAAAAATAAGAAATATCTATAATATTTTTAAATCGTAAATACTTAAAACTTTTCAAACTTTTAAATCGTAAATAATTAAAAGAATATATATCTAAACATCAAGAATTAAAAGTTATAAGGTCAACGTCCTAGTAATTAAACATGTACCGATAATTGAATTACTAATAATATACTTGTGTTTGTTAAGATGCTTATCAATAAATGAAACAAAATGACAAAGTAACTAAATATTTCTTTTCATTTATTTGATTGTTTTGTATATTGCAAAGCATTTCAACAAAGAAAAATACAAAGCCAATATGTCAATCATGGGACATATTGGCTTTATGTTCGACCACTGAGACGTTTACCTTAGAGAAAAAAAAGCGTGTGTGCTACCTGAAAGACAGAGTAGCATCGATTTGATGTCTCAAATATTATATACAGATTATCTGACAATGACACAATGCTTGTGTGCAGAATGAATCAGGACATTGTCAAAAGAAGGGTTATGCTGGAAATTTCAAAATTATATCTACATGAATTGATTATATATTTTCTACGAGATGTATATGACACGGCCGTTTGTCACGTAAACAATATAGATTATATAAAATATTGTAAATTATATACATGTTCAAATATAATAAATTATATATCTGTTCAAATATAATAAAATATATATCTGTTTAAGTCAATTTGCTTACTGGGTCACAATGTTTGGTCACATGTAAATTAAGACATTTACACGTGAACATCCAAACATTGTGAAGAGATTCTAGATATTTTGGATGAGATTTTATTTACAAAGATTGCCTTAGCACTTTCCGTGCAATCATACACTTTCGTTGATATTGTAACAATTCTTTACTAACTATTGTGAAATCTGTAAAACGAAAGAAAATTTTCCTGTACAGTTTAACATACAAGCAAGTATTATTAGTGCTACTAGTGTTGTGCCGCCAGATACTCTGTATAAAGTGAAAAAGAAAAAAAGATCAACGCGCAATAATACAAAATTTAGCTTTGACTGTAAAATTTAGCTTTGACTGTAAAATTACGTTACGACACCATCAAATGTATTGTAGGCTACCCACTGCGATGATTCTGCACGAAAGGAATTCTCTCCTCGCATTATACATTAGAGCAGTCGGTCGAATTCTTGTCGGACGAATTCTTCGCGCGACAGTTCGAATTTTGTACGTAGAGGTTGATCTCCTGAAGTGAGACCCCCGTTGTGATGGTGCGCGAGGCACTTGTGCTGTGGCAATCATTGCGCGTTGCGTTTCTGGAGAATATGTCTTCCCGACAGCCAAATTTTTTTAGTAGTAGCTTCCTGATCTTGTCCTTCCACACGAATATGATGAAGATGATGAGACCCTCCAAAACGTTCGCCATGTCGCAGATGTACAAGACGAATAACGGCACCTCCCTGAACATCCACGTTATTATATTCATGGACTTGGTTATGCCCATTAGAATAAACAACTTCAGGTACAGGCTGAACCTGTAATATATTTTTCATGTTATATTTCTTGCGATTACGGCGCGATCGATTAGTTTTATCATCGACTACGTTAACGAGGACAGCCTAAATTACTCAAGTAATAATATCCGTGCAAGTGCTGTCTATGTTTACAAGATTACGTTGGTTAACACAAAAAACTAATAATTAAATTTAATTATGTACAAACAACCTTTGAGAGTTTCAAAATTATAACATCAGGCACATGAAATTCACGGTAGAACGATGACTGCAGATTAGAGTGACTATTTCAGTATTTAATTCAAATTGTTTTAAAATTGTTTTAAAACTGTTATATTGCTCTGCTATTTATTGGTTATAACAATATAACACGGCAACATAAATATAAAACATTTTTGCATTATATGTATGTTATGTAATATTTTTATATCTAGATATTGGGTTATTCGTTTAAAATTTAAAAACATATGGCTTAAGATGTGTTTATATAGTTTAAGATAATTTAAGATGGTTAAATGGCTTTTAAATGGTTTAAGATAACTTAAGATGATTAGATGGCTTTTTCTCGTGCGTTTTTCATACGTAAAATATGGTGCATTAACATATAAAAAAAGATGATCACGAAACGGCAAAACTTGTACCATGGAGTCAATTTTTGTAGTATTGTGTAAACGTAGCTATTATCTTAATTAAAAAGATGTTTCGCAAATACTACAAAGTGGAACCATTAAAACGGACCACTATCTCTGAAATCACCTAAATGCGTTAAAATCGCTGAGTTTGATAATCTTGCTATTCACGTGAATATTAGAGATTTTATCCACAAGGATGAATATTTCTGGACGATCGCGGCTATCTTTAAATAGACAAGTAAATGTTAAAAAGTAACGAGGCAAATTTCGAGTGGAGCTTAAAAGTTTTTCTTAAGAGGTCTTCTGAGAAATGTGGCTTTCATTTGTCCCTTTTACACCAAGAGCATTCACTTCGATTTTATATTCGCACGGTCGTTCGTCATTCTTTCCGGAATCCTAGACGCTTTCGCATCGTCGGAGGAATCTCGCGCCCGCGATCAAAACGGCGGCCATATGTTTATTTCTTCAGAAGATTTCGTAAGCAAGCACACGATTTACATTTCGTAAGATGAAAGCAAACCACGGCATGGGAAAGTCTCTGTCTAAAAATAATCACCATGTTAGCAACGAGGGCTGATCGACATTTTGCGAAGTCATTCGCAAGAGGCGCTATATCGATGTTATTAATTTTATCAGTTATGTGGATTAATGCATGTATCCCCAATGAAAAATTTTTCATACATAATTATATAAAATTATATAAAATTATATTATAATTTTATATTATTATATACAATTATGTATGAAATTTGCCCATACATATTAATACATGTTACTTATACAGGGTTGGCAAAAAGTCCGGAAACGGTCAAATATCTCGAAAAGGATCAACTGTAGCGAAAAATATGTAAGTAGCAAAGTTATAGGGTTTAATAAAATGTACCTAATGATGGCTAAGAATTTGACTTTGGGTGGAGGACGAAGGTCATACGAAGATCAAATTGAATTTTTTAAATTAGACCCCTCACTTTTTATTACATATTTTTGTCGCTTATTTCAAGGGCTTTCCAAAAACCTATAATAAAGCATTTTTTTATTAGGCATATTTAGAGTTATGAGGCTTGAAAGGATTTTGGTCTTTAACTGTTTCTGTTTCGTAAAAACGTATCACTGTCTTCTGAACGGTGGATTTAGCAATAAAATTGCGATCAGGATATGCAGCATTGAATGTGTAGATCAGTTACTTCTTCGTATGATCTAATATGGTCCCCAAATTTTCGATAAAGAAACAGCATTATCTTTTCTTTATCGGTTAACATTTTTAAAAAAGAAATTTGAAATTGTAGTTGGAAAAAGAAAGGGAAAAGACAAAGAGTAAGATGCGAGAGAGCACGACTCGTTTTTAAAATACAAAGATCGAGAAGCGTTATCGTGAAGCGCGTGTATGCGCGAGTTTTGACTGAATACGTGTGATATTACGTCGTGAATAAATAATCGCGTTCGATGCGAGCGAATGAACAACTAGGCTGGGAGCCTGAAAAACATAAACACAGAAGAAAAACTAGAATAACTTTGTTTTTCGTGTCTCGAGCTAGACGATATGACGGGCTTAGTTGTTCATTCGCTCTCATCGAACGCAGTTATTCATTCATGACGTAATATCACATGTACTCAATCAAAACCCGCGCATCTCGCATCTTACATTTCACGGCTGCCGAAGGGCTTGGAACCGACACACCGGAAGGGCGCAACCTTCACACCGAATACAACGCGATCAATTAGTTTTATCATCGACTACGTTAACGAGGACAGCCTAAATCCAAGGAGTGATATCCGTGCAAGTGCTGTAGTCTATGTTTACATGGTTAACATGAAAAACTAATAATTAAATGTACAAAGAACCTTCGCGAGTTTCAAAATTATCAGGCACGTGAAATGCACGGTAGAACGATGATACACTCATCCATACATCCATACATACATACATACATATATATATATATATATATATATATATATATATATATATATATATATGTAACATTTTGACAGCTTGACGTTTTTTACATACGTGTTTTTTTTAGGCGACCAGATTTCCCAGCCCATTTCCCAGCATTTACATATAATTTTATATATAATTTTATATTATTATATATAATTATACATAATTATGTATGAACAAATTTTATATACAATTATGCATGAAAAATTTATCATCGGGAGATGACGATCATCATTTCAAGACGATAATGACGACAATGCTCTTTTCAAATACGAACCTTTGCTTGTTGTCATTGTGACGTCTGCTTTCCGAGCTTCTCTGCTGATGAGCCATGTCTTTCTTCTGCTGTACGATCTTTAACACCGTGGAAATGAACAGGAAGATGTTGCAGATAACAGTGATACTTATGGGTAGGAAATAATACAAGTTGTCCGCTAAAAGTAGAGAATAAATCGTTAGTGTTCACGTTTTACAAGTTATACGTGATATGTGTATCCTTCATTTTAATTAATAGTAATAATAATAGTAACTAGTCCAGATAGTCAGAGATGCTGAACATAGCATGCAAAAATTTAACATGGACTTTGTGATGCAAATGTGTTACAACACATGTATTTAAAATATACTGTTTTAAGAAATACTATTTCACTATATATGTCATATATTTTTAAATTTAAAACGCTTAACTTCTAATCATTATAATAATTTTGGATTAACTGCCTTCTTTTGCCGGCAAATAAACAGCAATTTTCATGACATGTTATCTTTCTTATATACTTTATATACTAACAAAATTCTTGTTATATATATCTTTGTTTACTTGTGCTACAATTTTCAAAACTCAATTCAGTCATCATATGTCAAAATGTCTATCTGAGGTATAACATCAACTTTATTAGTATTTTATAACGACTTTATGTATATATAAAATATATAAATATTGTAATATATGATTAATCATATATTGTAATATATGATTATATTAATTTACGGTTTTGTAGTAATTTTTTTACTTTTTAGGTAAAACGATTGTATTTTTATATCGTTATAATTTTATGAAGCGCGCGCGCGCAACGTATACGCCTTTTGATCTGTAATATTTTACTATACTTTATACATATTGGGACTGTGCATTAATTTTAAAGGATTTTCAAGAGATGGCGTAACTAGTACTATATCGCATCAGGTTTTGCTATAACGCAAACACAATATCGCATATTGTTGCTACCCTACTGAAAAATTTCTATTGAGATAACAAAAGAATTCCCAATTCAATTCTCAGTTAAATTCTCAATTGAATTCTCAAATGCGATTTCCGCAAAAATTCGCATGTAAGATCTCAATTGAGATATTTGCATCTGATAGAAATAATTTATTGAAAATATAATGAAATTTTGCTGAAATGTTTTTGAAAAGCATTCACAATTTTGACCCAATTTCATTAAAATTTGATTATAATTTCACTATAATATTTCGTTAATATTTTATTAAAAGTATAGAAAAATCATTATTAATTAAAATAGATTGAGAAAAGTATAATAAAGTATTATTTTGTCTAAATAATAAAAAAAACTGGCATTTTATATTGTGTGTCGTTTCATTTATTCGTGAGATTCGCGTGTCACACGGATTCGATAATCCCGTGTCACACGGTCACCTATCTTTAGATGACTATGCGCGTCACCTATCTTTATATGACTTTTGCGAGGACGTTGTATGTTTAAATTCAATTAGTTATACAATATTGTATCAATATTAATCGCATTGTGATTGTTGTTACGTCCTTTGAAACATTTACCGATAAATATGTCATTACATTTTTAAACGATGTAAGGCTGAGTTCCCACTGAGCGCGTCACACGTCGCGTCTGCCTGCATCACGAGTTAACCAATCAAATTCTCTAATTGGGATGACGCAACGCGCGACGCACGACGCACTTGTTCCAATGGAATGATTTGATTGGTTAATTCGTGACGCAGGCAGACGACGCGACGCCTGACGCGCTCAGTGGGAACTCAGCCTTAAGAGTATATTGTAAATATAATCTACCATGATATCATTACAGCACATTGCCATTACTAGTTCCAGTACGATCGTTGAGGTTAGGCACTGAACAGCGCATAGTCATCTAAAGATAGGTGCCGTCTGACACGGGATCCGAATCCCACGCGAATCTCACGAATAAATGAGACGACATACAATATGAAATGCCAGTTTTTTTATTATTTAGACAAAATAATACTTCATTATACTTTTCTCAGTCTATTTTAATTAATAATAATTTTTCACTGAATTTTTCTACATTTTTAGTAAAATATTATCGAAATATTAATGAAATTATAATAAAATTTTAATGAAATTTGGTCAAAATTGTGAATGCTTTTCAAAAGCATTTCAGCAAATGTTCATTATATTTTCAATAAATTATTTCCATCAGATATAAATATCTCAATTGAGATATTACATGCGAATTTTTGCGGAAACCACATTTGAGAATTCAATTGAGAATTCAACTGAGAATTGAATTGGGAATTCTATTGTTATCTCAACAGAAATTTCGCAATAGGGTACCTCATATCAAAGCACCATCATGTGGTTTTAGTTTTCAGTATGTCTCACTTTGCCGAAGTGTAAACATTGTTTTTTTGAGCATTGAATATGTCGAATTTTGTGCCAACAAAACGCAATTTGCGGGAAGCTTTGCTTTTTCGCTTCCATTTGAAGAAAAGTGCTGCTGAAAGTCAACGAACGCTCTCGGAAGCTTATGATGATTATACTGCATCGATTTCAACATGTGAGTACTGGTTTCGACGCTATAAAAAAGGTGATTTTGACACGGAAGACAAGGAACGTCCAAGCCAGCCAAAAAAGTTTGAAGATGAGGAAGTGGAAGCTTTACTTGATCAAGACCCGAATCAAACACAAGAAGAATTTGCAAAATCATTAAATGTTGATCGATTAACGATTTACAGACGTTTGAAGGCCATTGGAATGATTCAAAAGCAAGGAAATTGGGTGCCGTACAAGTTGAAGCCGAGAGACGTCGAAGGCGCAAAATGACCTGTGAATTGTTGCTTCAAAGACATAGAAGAAAAAGTTTTTTGCATCGTATCGTGACGGGTGATGAAAAATGGATACGCCACAATAATCTGAGGCGCAAAAAATCATGGTGCAGGCCAGACGAATCATGAATATCAACAGTAAAGCCGAATATTTATGGTGCCAAGCTCATACTCTGTATTTCGTGGGATCAGCTGAGTGTAGTGTATTATGAGCTGCTCCAACCCAACGAAACTATCACTTGAGAACGCCCAACAACTACCAACAACAATTGATGCAATTGAGCCGAGCATTGAAGCAAAAACGGCCAGATTACGCGAAAAGACATGACAAAGTGATTTTCCAGCATGACAACGCTCGGCCACATGTTGCGAAATCGGTCAAGGAAAAAGGGTTTAACTGGGATGTCCTATCACATCCGTATTCTCCTACCGCATCCGTATTCTCCAGATATTGCTCGTTTCGTTTATCACCTATTTTGATCGATGACTCATGGCCTGTCTGAGCAGCGGTTCCATTCTTATGAAGATATAAAAAAATGGATCGATTCGTGGATAGCCTCAAAAGATGTATCGTTCTTTCGACATGGAATCCACCTATTACCAGAAATATGGGAAAAGTAGTGGCTAGCGATGGACAATATTTTGAATGATCAATTTGTAACCATTTTTTCACAATAAAGCGGTATTTTTACCAAAAAATCCCTTAAAATTAATGCACACACCCAATATATTATCTTATAATAACGACATAAAAATATAATCATTACATTTTACTTAAGACCAATCGACATTATGCGAGGTCATTTGCAGGAAGCGACATATCAATATTATTAATTTTATGAGTTATATAGATTAATTCGAAAGGGAAATCCAGAAGGACTTTATTACAGAACCCGACATAACAGTAACTTTATTGTGTGACTTGAATGTAATACAGTTTGTGTGAATGTAATATAGTTAAAATAAGCACGCAAAGGACGAGGCGTAAGCATACGCTTCTACGAGGCCTAAACACACATATTACAATCAAAGTCCTTGCAGATTTAACGAGAGTTAAGCGAGACGGGCGCCAACGTTAAAGGAAGACGTTCATTTATGTCGTACTTACTCGTTAACCAACATTTCAAGAAGCCAAGCTCCGGACTGATAACAGATTCCGATATATTGGGGAAGAAATCCATGATGAAACTAAGCATAGTAAGGATGGAGGTGCAACCCCACACGTAAATCGAATACATGATGAACTTCTTTTTCTCCCGTTGGTTCACATTTCTTTGTAACGAGCGGAATTTTCTGCAAAATTATTTATAGCTTATTAACATAATAATGAGAAAAACAGGCGCATGTATTACAAATACACGTTAAAACAGTTATCACTTTTGGTCAAGTTTCCCGGAAATCCGACCTCTTTAAATGCTTAACCTTTTTTTCGTGCTAATTAAAAGACGATGAGTTATATGTGATATAGATAATTAATTAGTAAATGAGAATGTAAGCTAAAATACCTAATTATTGACATTAGTCACTTTAACACTTAGATACTTTTAGTCACATTAACACTTCAACAAAAACCTGTTTTTTATGATTGCAGTTAAATTTCTTGTCTGCACTTTATGATTTCAAAGGGGAATTTCATAATAAGATTGATGAAAACCACCGCTGGCCGCAAGAAAAATTAAATTTTTCCAGATATACACTGAGAAAAAATTTATCAAATTTTAAAAAAACGTTTGTTTGGATAGTACTGTGAAGATATTTGTTTAAATTAAGCAGTTATTTTCTAAAATTAAAGAAACAAATTTATATATTTAAAATTTCTTTATTTAATTTTAGAAAATAATTACTTAATTTAAATAAATATCTTCAGTATTATCCAAACAAACGTTCTTTGAAATTTAATAAATTTTTTTCTCAGTATAGCAATATACGATATATATGAGGCATTCTTCGTCAAACCAGCTATCCCCTCTACCCAAAATTTGTATGGATTGATTAAAGTCAACCGGGGCTCAAATTTTAGGTGATCATGTCTAGTGTCGTTTGTCATCTGGCCTTTTGAGAAATTTATCATGTCGGCTCTAATATGGCGGAAATTGGAAAAAACGATGGCAAAATCCGTACGTGACTTCCTATACACCACACAATTACTCAAATCGGTTCTAACATGATCAATCCAAGGTTCTTAAGGTCGCTAATTATGGCCTTAAGACCTTAAATGTACCCTTTATGCATTTGCGAATTAATTGAAGTTTTCTAGAGTATTATCATTAGATTCAACAATAAGCGCTCTGAGGTTAGTAGTTCCACTTTTGTGGCTTTCCCGGCAGTCTAAAGATTAAGGACCTTCTCTTTTCAGATGCATCTGAGAAATACGGTTGGTACTAGAATATATAGAGTATAGGAGTGGTCGATGCGCGGGGCTGCGGACGATGACATAAGAGAGTAACGAGATTCTTATTAACGCGTAGTTTGAAGTTGCTTATATACGTGCGTTAAATCATACATTGCAGTATCCCGACACACAGGCGCGCGCGCCGCGTAATTAGACGGGGAAGCGAGATACGCGCGGCTTAGCGCGGCTTGGTGTAGGCGAATGCAAATTACACTCTTGCGATGACACTTCCGCAAATTGGACCATCTACGTTGGCGGATTGCGGCGTAACAGGTCGTGCCAACGTGCCTCTTTCATTTATATTCGGCTAACGAACGTTTAGCAGCTATTGCTTCGACCAAACTGAGTTGGGGCACATTTTCTTAGGACGCGCTGACCATCCCACTTGCGGGGCCGCATTCGCTTCGCCAATGAACCCCCCTACGCTCGACCGATATAACCGCGGAAAGCTGTCGATTCCAATCGCCAAAAGAATCCGGGAACGCTATGTAACCCCCTTCCGGTATACGCAAAATCGCGCGAGCGGAACCTCCTCGTCCTTGTGACGGGCGCCGTCCGGCCGCAACGTCACATATATATATATATATATATATATATATATATACTTATAAAGGCGTATTTTATGCAAAAAATATTAATTCACGCGATATAACTATTTGTTATCAATTTCATATGATATTGCTTCCATAAATAAAGAATAACTGTCCTTACTGTTCTTAAACGATCGGTAAATTGGCCGTTTACCTTATTCAAAAGACAGAAATTATCTCACGGGGTGATTGGTATTCAAATTTCTGACATAACACGTTCTATCATTTTAGTATCCAGATTCAAGGCGTTTTAGAAATACTGCGAAGGTCACACATTCACACATACGCATCACGATCACCGATTCGACTGTTTAAATACAACTCGATGAAATTGCGAGATGAAGTATATAGCTCGAGAGTATTTTGCCACTTACCTGAACGCCCACCAAATGTCGAAGCACATCACGTTCAGCCAGAAGAAGCTCGCCATGTCCGAGAAGTAAGCGATGAAGGCTGAAACAGGCAAATAAATAGCGTCTCAAAATCAATACATGGAAGTGCAAGAAAACCTTGCGGATATTATTCGACCGTGAAAACTACACTATATATTCTTTCTCTGTATCGGAAACTCGTGGGAAAATGTTGCGATAAATATGTAATAAGTGCGTGCTTACATCAAAAGAAAAGAAATCTTTCATTAGAGATACATATATCTTGCAAAGTTTTGATAAGATAAAGAAGAATCTATGTTGATACATTTATGTCAAAAGATTTGTCGTTTTCCCATTAAATTCTACGGGAAAATTTGGATATTAGGAGGAAAATAAGAAAGTCTTCGTTAGATGTCTGAAAGAATACCGAGTCGATGTTATCTATTTTACATGTACTCCTTATTAATTCCTCGAAATTGGATAATTTCATATTCTATTTCACTTGACGAACACGACAAATCTTTCACACAAACCTAACACATATCTGTACGGCACGCACTCGAAACTGAAATTTCATCTATTACTTATTCCCGTACTATTCTAAATTTCTTGGAGTAAAATTTTACTTCAAATGAATAAAAAGTATTTTCATTCGAAACGATAGTGAAAATTTTGTCATTCGAAATAGCAAGAGTGAGTGTTCTATTCGAATTGTTAAATTGAATGAACTTACCAGTAAAGTTCGATTCTAATTATGCCCGTTGTCTCGTCCAGATGGAAACTGCGCAGTCATGCCTCTGCACGCTCCTTGACAACAGAATTCAAAGGTACCGCCAAAATGAAAAAGCGCGCCGCTGCTCGCCTAGCAGCACTCGCAGTCGCGAGCACTATGCGAGCGCCGCGCACAAAATGTTTTCTCATGAGTTCGAAGCTTCCAGGCAAATCGCGATCCTCGGGATTGGCAAATAAGAGACGAGTGGGAGTCCATCCAAACGGGCATAATTAGAATCGAACTTCACTGGTAAATTCGTTCAATTTAACAATTATGCCCATGTTGTCTCGTCCGGATGGAAACTATGTAGCTGTTCAAATCCAACGATTTGCCACTGGGAAGAATCTAAGATATAGAATAGTCAGGTAAAAATAAATGTCTGAAAGAATATAGAAGCCTATAAAAAAAATGGTATAATAAACAAAGTTACACTAGAGTAAGATATGACAAAATTAAATTATAACCCAGGAGCCTGACTTATACCCAAGGAAGATTTAAACTTAAATATAAAGAAAAACTATGTAGACGTAAAAGTCTATAATATAAAATAAAAATCTGAGATGAAAAGAAACCTTTACAAAAGGTGAACCACAGAACAAAAAATAAGATATATACTATTCCTCCTATATTCGCTGTTAAGCCGATTTATGATTGTAAAATCGTATTGCTGAAATTCTCTGGGTTAAGTATCCGTCTATTGTAGAACGTAGTAAAGACTTGGGACATGTCGGTCTCGCTTGCCACATGTTTAATCATGTCGAGTGAAACATCTTTTAACACAGCACGTGACGTTGAAGTCTGTCGAGTACTGTGCGCTGAAAATATGGAAGTGTCAATTCCAAAATCTTCTAAACCTCTATGTATCCAGCGACTGATCGTTTGCGCAGAAACTTCCCTGTGTGGTTAAGAAAGCGAGATAAATAAAAAATCGCATGTGGAAAAAAACAATTTTTCGGTTATATTTAAATAATGCTCTAAGAGGTGAACAATTCAGAGATTCTCATAATCTTTAAAATGGGAGAAAAGCAAGTAGGGGTTGAGACCGACCCGGCGCTAATGTTTTGATTCGGTCCGGTATCTGAATGAAAAGTTTTTTATTCAATGAAATTTGCCAAGTTCTTAGCAGAGCGATAGTTTGAGCACGGTGACCAGAACCGAGAGCGAAAAGGAGTACTAATTTCCTAGTGATAATATTCAAGGAGGCTCCCTCATATGGATAAATAGAAGACAATTTAGATATTACGGGAGCTGGATCCCAAACAACATCATATCGCAGTCGAGGCGGCTTTAATACTGATATCTCTTTATAGAAATGTCTAATAAATTATGATGATTCCCAACTTCATTCTGGGAAATCAAAGAATTACCGATACCCTGACGTTTAAACTTGAATAGAAAAAGGTGTTAGCTAACTCCTGGGCTAAATACTAATACTAGTACTCTAATACTTCAGCGATGGATGGAAAACATGGTGATATCCTCTGACGCTGACAGAAATTCCACCAGGAGCGAAGCGAGTGGGAATATTGTTTATTCGTCGAATCCAAAAGAGAGGTTAGGAAAGCTGGTAGCGCTGTTGACGGCAAAGCAAGTTAAGTAAGCTTTAAACGTTTCCCTGTAAACTAAGTCTTTCCCAAAAGTGAGTAAAAGCATCTACACAATTGACCCTGAGTCCGGAAACCAAGATACATATCCATCGCATTTATTCGCAAATAAGTCTATATCAAAAGGACCAAAGAATCCTGCGAAAAGCTGCCTCCAATAAAGACCACTTAATGTCGGTATCCGCGATTTAAGATTCAGCGTTTGCAATAGAATTTTCTATAGACGATATGTAGGAGGCAAATATGAAGATATTTTAATCATCACATTCACACCAAATTTGTCTAGAGACTTCGGAGAGATGAGGGAATTTAATAGACCCGAATTTGTTAATATAAGCTAGAGCTTTGTATTGTCAATGCGAAGTAAAATCTCACAGTCGAAAAGATCCGCTGCAAAACAGCGTAGACCATTAAAAATCGCTTTTAGTTTTAATAAATTTATGTGAACAGTCTTCTCGCTCTTAGACCACCAGCCATGTGTACGTAAATCGCCACAAGAAGCTCCCTCCCATTCAAAGAGACGTTTGTCAAGATTTCCCAAGCAAATCTGCTTGAACGAATCCTATTCGTTTGACGAATTAGAAAAAATGTTGATCCACTAAGTAAAATCTTCTTGAAGATGTGGAAGAATTTCCATTAATATTGAATAGTTCTCGTTATTTCTAACAAGGGATAGAAATTTATCTTTTTTAAATTTCTTAGTATAAAAGAGTTTATATTGGACTGCTGGACGAATCACAATAAGTGAGCCCATAAACCTAGCTAACTCTCTAATGGAGCATCTTATTTTGCGTGCTAAACTTCTTGTTAATTGCAGCAATCTTTCCCGACGTAGAGGTGGAATTGTGGTCGATTGATTGTTAGGATCAAACAAAAAGCTTAGATATTTACATCTAGTCGAGGATTCCAGAAGAAATTTCGTATAATTTATCACAAAACCCAACTGTAGATCCAACTGTAGGTTAACCGAGGCAGTGACATTCCTCATTCCTTAGCCTGACCTTCCTCAGTGGATGAAGGTCCAGTGGACAGGCGGCCATCTGCGCCTGAGAAGACGACTGGTATTCGTCACGTTTAATCATTGCAGGGGTCAAGCGAGGAGTCAGCAAAAAGAACATTGGAAGCTGACGTAAGTCCCCTCGACGTTAACACCCGTAGCTGCTGGCGTGGTTATACAAGAAAATAGATATAAAAGAAGAAACATATCGGCTATGTCTTCTCTTTGCCAGGTAAAACTGGGTCGAGGAGAGGACATATCTGATACGACGCCCGGTCAGCTTGTGCGACCGTATTCTTCATTATATTGCTTTGAGGCACATGAAGCAATTGAGGAAGGTGTCGGTGAACATGCGTCTTTAGGAGGGATAATCTTCGAAGGCAACCCAACCTAACCTGTCTCCGAGGTTCTAGGTTATATTCCTCCTAATACTGGGTCAGAAATTCACGAAAATCGTTCCCTTATAGAAATATCATACTAAGAATCATTGATAATTACTTATTATCCAGTATTTTTAATACTGAAAATAAGTAATTATCAATGATTCTTAGTATGATATTTCTATAAGGGTTGAGAATCCTGAAAAAATCTTTCCCTGGATCGCAGTATTCCTTTGATGACACCCGGCAAACGAATATCTGTGGATCTTCCTCTGTGTCCTTTCACCTTTCGCGAACGATCGTACGATCTCTCTCTCGAATATATACGACCCTTATAGAAATATCATACTAAGAATTATTGATAATTACTTATTATCCAGTATTTTTAATACTGAAAATAAGTAATTATCAATGATTCTTAGTATGATATTTCTATAAGGGGAGATGATTTCTTCTCTCACGAAGAAGAACTCCTTATGTTTCGACATTGTACTTTGTAATAAAACTTGAAAATAATATCGAAAAAACACTGACTATGCAGTATATCTTTTGCCCAAGGGAGCGAACAGAACACAATAAAAAAACAGTATGCGTGCGGCACTCGCATAGCGCTCGCGACTGCGAGTGTTGCTGGGTGAGCGGCGGGGCGCTTTTTCATTTTGACGGTACTTTTGAATTCTGTTGTTAAGAAGCGTGCAGGGGCACGACTACATAGTTTCCATCCGGACGAGACAACATGGGCATAACTTTAAGTTGATTGTGACTTCACACGAGTGTTTCGATTAAAACAAATACTTGAATATCTAATAATACAAAAAATGTATTTAATTATATATAAATTATATATAATTTAATATAATATAGGATGTTTCCTAAGTACACTAGGATTTATAAACGCCTTTACATTTCCGGTATCTGGAGAATTGGACTTTTTTGATCTGGCGCATCTTTTCTCAGTAAACGTGAATCGTAACTGCTAGTTACTGAATAAACCAACGACTAATTAACAGTTACGATTCATGAGAAACGATGCGCCAGATTGAAAAAATTCAATTCTCCAGATAAAGGAAGTGTAAAGACATTAATGAATCCTAATGTACATGTCAAAAATGCAGGAGATGATTCTTCTCATCAAAATAAAAAAGAAAACATTCATATAAACATATGTCCTAAAATGCTTTATTTTTAAGATATATCCAGTAAACATGATAATATCAAATAACATTTTAGTGACGCATTACTGCCATTTCTAACATCAATAATAAGTCATTGATATATTATTTGACGTCCTGCTACTTGAATATTACTAGAAAGAAGTAGCTGAAAAGTAAAATTATTTTTTTACCAATAAAAGGACAACGTTGAAAAAAAATTCAAATTTTCTTACTTTTTATGTAAGTAAAAAAAGTAATATTTTATTTATTCAATTTTATTTTGTCAAAGATGAAACACATTCTTCGATAATAGTGCGTGCTAGCGAATTTTGACAAAAATACGTTTTGTATATACAAATGTCTGAGGATTCTGAAAATAAGACCGTATTCGCTCTATCTGGGAGAATTAAAAAAAGTTATGCAAAATAAAAGTAACCATCCCTAATTTTCAACTTTTATTTTCTGGGGACGAAAACCATCTCAAAGTATGACCTACTATTAATACCAGACGTTAAACACAAAATTAAACGTTTTTACATTTGACCGTTGTCTTTTCATCTGCAAAAAAGTTTTTCTCAGCTAACTCTTCCGGGATGTGTATTGCGGAAATGAAATATTTTATATGAATATATGAATCTGTTTTCTTATCTTAATGTAAAGAATCACTCCTCCTGTATTTTTTATATGTACTTGGAAAACACCTTATATGTCTCATGTATAAATTTTGTCTCTGTATGGTTATATATTAACCATGAAATCTCCTTTACTTTCATGGAATGTTTTCTTTCTTTCTAGCTTATACATAAATAAATATATAATAAAATTATTATATATAAATATATAATAAAATTATTATATATAATAAATTCTGACTCTATACAAGAAAATATTTTAATCGATCACAGTGAATACATCTCTGTGACGGTGAAATAACATCAGACTCACTTTTGAATTTCGAGTGAAAATACTCGACTTCACTCGACAATTCAGAGTGGAAAATTCACTCCGTTTTAGTAAAAATCATTCGTATGGGAGTGATTCTGCGCTCAGTCTGCTTTTCAAGTGAAATTCTACTCCAAGAAATTTAGAGAGTGTCATTTTAATAGCTCCTGCACACAGGACGCGGTAATGTTTGCCGCACGACGGAAGTCTGCGCGACAGCCAATCAATATGTTGTTTTTCCGTAAGAGCTAGAAGATTATTACGGAAAACAGCATATTGATTGGCTGTTACGCGAACTTCCGCCGCGCGGCAAGCATTACTGCGTCCTATGTGCAGGAGCCATAAAGCCCTAATTAATTCCTCAGTCATCAGAGAGTAATATACGATGAAGCAAGAGCGAAAATACAGTCGAACACAAAGGATATACACGTTAGTTGTATCGATCAATTATACGGTCTGTTCAAGTTATACCCGATCCAATGCAGATTGCATCCGGCAAAACGTAAGGTTTGTCCGGTATCAGCTTGTGCGGCACGAGGGATATATGCGCAAAGAATAATGAGCCAATATATCCGCGAAGTATGTAACCATGCATGTTCCAGAGGTCCGGCAGAATGGTGTACACCACGAAGGTCAACAGCAGGAACAGCAAGGACACAAAGGTACCGATGAATACTAAGGTGAATTGCACGAGCTTATCGACGGTCGTAAATGTAATATCATAGCACATTATCAGCTCGTATTTGCTGTTGTTCATGACGGCGAAACAGTAAGATGTCGGATCGATGGAGCTGTTCAATAGCGTTTGCACTGAACCGTTGGTCAGAATTATGTACTTGTCCTCGGGATATAAGACGGAATCGAAGTAGTGTCCTTTGACACATAGATTTGATACGAACAATGGAAAAACCTCGTTTACCTTCTTGCCTGTCTCATGTACCTCCGGGAAATCATATTCACTGTCATCGGGCGTGCATATGTCATTGATTATACGATAGCCGAGTTCGCAACAAATTGGTATACAGACTGTCTCATTGCAGTTCTTGGAATTCGTTTCGTTCGAATTGCTTCCTAGGCGAAGCTGCGACGTGGTAGAGTTGCCGTCGCTGGTCTCTGTGGATTTGTCGCGAAGCTCGGCCGGCACATTCTGACTGCCGTTCTCATCGAGGTTCTTCGTGTAGTTATTGTCAAACTCATCCTGTACCGAGTCCTTGTCGTCCCTCATGTCCCTGTCGTGCATCATGTCATCCTGCTGCTTATCTTCATAAGTGGAATTACTCTGATTTTCCGCCGCGTAGGCGACCACCAGTAGAAGCGTGTACCACACGATGAGATTTAGCCGACACATCCTCGGTCTTCTACCGCGTACGCGTCAAGAAAGATACTGAATTGAGTTGGCTTCTTTCTACAACAGTCCCCGCGAAATATCCAGTGACCACAGCGATGACGCGAACTATGCAAATGATGTGTGTGATACCGTCTATGATTTGGCAGCGACTTTCTGTTGTCGAAGAGCATAATCGCTTTCGCAGCGAGCGCGCGAAAGAGCACACAATAAGCCACCTCGAGAATGCAGGTCTTGGCTCGATCTCTAACAGCAATGTGATACGGGGAAATACATTAACCTCTTTATGAATCTCATGACCTGATGATGACTCATGGTCTAGTTATGACTTTAGGAAATTTGTGGTGCAGCGTAGCGAGTATTGGTTTGGCTGCTTGTTAAGAGCCTTCAATGCTCCGGCAGATATGTATTTTTCTTTTATACTTTTATACTTGCAAGTGATAAGATGAGTCATTACGCCCGAGCGTCGAGGAAATTTCTTTCTACCGTCTACTTCAATGTGATCTATTTTAAAGGGAATCGGTGTCAGTTGGGTAGTGTTACTTGTGAGCCATTTATCACATCGGTAGAGTGCTGTTTTGCTTTTGAATACTTCTCTACTGATAACTTCGCAGGTTATACTCGGATTTCTGAATTTCGATGCGCATGCTGCGATTAATGACTGTGCTTTAATCAATGTTTTCTAGACGAATTGCACATGAATTGCCATAATTTTGCAATAAATTGCAATAAATTTTAATTATCATTTTGGTACTACTTCTAGAATATTTCTGGAATGAAAGTAACTAAATTTTTAAGTAACTAAGACATAATATAGAATAATAGACAAAATACTAAATTTTGTGTCATAAGACGTCTTTGAGACATGTTCAAGACATCTTTAAGACAAGTTTATAAGATATTGTCTTAAAGATGTCTTAAAGACATCCTAAAGACATCTTATGATTTTATTTTGGACATTTGATGGTCCAGGACTTATTACTCTTAAAATATATTTATCATAAATTTAATAAAAGCTTATTTTCATGCACTCAAAAGAAGAACTCATACTTTTGACAAGAATATTATGAAACTTTATTAAAGAAAAAGTTGGTTCGACTATTAGAACTAAGAATATGTTTTGAGTGAATTTGATGCTTATGAAATGAACGTATGATAGATTTGCGGATATACAAATTTTGGAAATACTTGAAACAAGTCACCTTTGAATGCAGTATATATTTTTCTGTAGTGTAGATAGATTTTCTGTGTATGTAGATATTTTGCGAATACATCAAATCTTTGTCAAAGTGTAGTTCGGTATCGCTAGTGATTTATACATAACAAGAATTTGAATCACTTCTCTGTGATTTTGAACAGAAACGTCTCACCAATAACATCTCTTTCTTCTGATAATTAAAATACACGAGTAAAGGCAAACTTGTCTTACTTATTTTCGAAAGTGATTGTTGTTTGCACGAAATATCATCATGTGTGAATAAGTGATCAGCAAATATTGATATACAGTATTCACGCGTAGTTTGCGGTTTTGCTGTATTGTGATAATACTTACCGGTTAGTAAAATATCATTACTACAACGTTATTATAATGATATTCAGTCAGGGTTGGGAACATTACTTTTTAAAAGTAACGCGTTACTGTTACTGTTACTTGCGGTAAAAAGTAACTCGTTACCGTTAGAAACAATTAATGCTGCTTTCCGTAAAGCCCATTCTACAATAAGCAATAAATCTTAAGTCATAATAAAATTGACTAATCATAGTTGACTATTAGAAGGATAATCCACTGTAATTGGTCAATTTTATTGCAACTTAAAACTTATTGCTTAGTGTAGAAAGCTTCTAAAACGTGATCTACAATGAGAACTTAAGCCATAGAATTTAAGCTTTAAAGCTCTAAGCCGTAAGAAATTGACCAGTCACAGTTAATTATTTTTCTTATAATGTGATTGGTCAACTTCTTACGGCTTAGGACTTAAAGCTTAAATTTTATGGCTTAAGTTCTCATTGTAGACCACTCTTAAGGGGCGCAGCACACGAATTGACATAACAGTAACGTACCGTAAGAATTGGCCAATCACTTTGAGTATCGTCGAACCGTAAGGTCGTCATTTTTGTGAATACTCGATTGTAATTGATCTAATTTTATGGTATGTCTTACGTTACTGTTATGTCAATTCGTGTGCGGCGTCCCTAAAGTCCATTCTACATTAGGCGCAATCGCAAGATCGCAAAGAAATTGACCAATCATAATTGATTATTCTTCGATCGCAAGAAGAACAATCGACTATGATTAGTCAATTTCTTTGCGACCTTGCGATTTGCGATTAATGTAGAATGGCTTTATGTCGTTATGCAAGAATGTGTCCTTCCCGCTTAAATATCTTATATTTTGTCTTTATATATGTATAATTTATGTACTCCCAATGAAAAATTTTTTATATATAATTATATAAAATTATATATAATTATACATAATTATATATTATTATGTATCAAATTTGTCCATTCATGTTTATATATTCTACTTATATATGTAATTATATATAATTATGTATAATTATATATATAAATTCATATATAATTTTACATAATTACACATAGATTTATATGTAATTATACATATTGTTATACATAATTGTGTATAATTATATATAATTTTATATGATTATATATAATTATACATAATTATGTATGGACAAATTTCATACATAATTTTGCATAAAAAATTTTTCATCGGGCTA